TAAACCCCTAAACCCTAAACCACAGGTTATTTCGCCATATGCTGCGCACTCCGAAGCCGCTCCACAGGCCTGAGAAGCACGGTACTCCCGGAGTGCTTCAGTCCGTGATACTTTGGAAAAGCCCACTACCCCGACGAAGAAACAGACTTTGAATCCTAAGATTCGGAATCGAAAGTTTCAGGTATACTCTTTAGTTTGCGGGCTTGTCGGGGAGGTTATGTCACGTCCTTCGTACTTGGGGGGTCAAGAGGTGGGGCAACTGGTAAGGCCGATGAGTAGACTTTTCTCTAGACGTGCACATGCTTCTGGCTGTGTCAAGACAACTGAGTGAGTGGGCGAACTTCTTTGCCAGGTGACTTCGACAGTCGTCCAGCTGGTCCGCTTGGTTCGTATATGCGTGCCCTCGATATGGACGGAGTCACGAGGCCGAATTATTTTTGGGTCCTTATAAGAAGGATCCTACTATTTAGGCTACTATATTAGGGGCCCCTATTTTCGGAAACCCCCCCGAAGCAAGCAGTTCAGATGCGAGCGCAGCCTGCAGATCTTTCCTTGAGACTCGCTCCATCCAAGACAGCCTGGAGGCGGCTGATCCAGGTCCGCTGTTCTCCTAGCATCGATAGAAAGATATAGATATAGATATAGATATGATAGATAGATAGATAGATAGATCGTTTAGACCGATTAGATCGATTAGATAGATAGGTTAGATAGATTAGATAGGTTAGATAGGTAGATAGGGCCTACGCCGTTTTAGCTTTCAGGGCGCATCCCCCGACGATCCATCCAAGGCAAGCTTTCTGGCTATGCTCAGCCGTCCTGCTTTCTTTGCTGCTTGGATACTAAGGGCTTGGGTTACCGGGGGGGGGGGGCGATATGGGCTCGAAGAGAGGGGCCCAATGAACTGCAGAACCTCAGCCGAGGACTGTAGCCAAAATGCGAAGACGACACCGAACCTCACCATGACAACGCCCTCAACTGCCGCACAATCTGACCCGAATAAAGACTAAAAGAAGGTTGGGAAGCCCTTCAGCCGAGGATATATGGACTGCTCTCTTGCTTAGCCGGGCACTCAGATCTGAGAGTGGCAGCTCAGGCGGCAGGAGTCGTCAGGGTTTGGGGATTCCGTGCCCCAAAAAGCTTCGGGCCGCCATCCATGTCTGTAACGCTGGAGCCCTGAAGCCCGGAGAGGATACAAACCAAGCCAGGATTTGGAGCCCAGGTAGCATCGAGACTCGATCCTTTTTCAAGTCACCGTCCAAAGCCTCCCAGAAGCTCTGAGGCCTTGAACCGCAGAGCCCTTCAACCCCAAAGCCCAAGCCTCTCACTTCACTGCGAGGTTCCCAGTGTCCTCGTTCGCCCGCTTTGGACGATGGTCGGGCCCCGAGCTTTTCTGGGAGCCTGGGCCCCAGGCCTGCTGCCACCGAAGGTTTCAGAAAGCCCATGAGAAGCCATGAGCTCTCAGAGCTTGGCCCTTCATGGGGTTTTGGGCTTAGGTGGTAGTAGTATGTTTCAAGTGATCGAAGTTGCAGCCATAGAAGCCTGAACAGCTACCTTTGACTATGATTCCTTAGGGGTCCCTGTTGTATTTCTACTCTAAAACCTCCATGACCGCATTGATTATGTAGTTCTCGGTCCTCGATATTTAGCTGCACCAGCCGGGCCTCCGGCTCCTGCAGAGTAGCCGTGCCACGGCAAATGTAGGACCCTACTGCTACTGCTACTGCTACTACTACTACTACGACGACGACTACTACTACTAGCAGAAGTAGTACCGGTACTAGTAGTAGTAGTACCGAGGGTTGGGTGGGCAACGTCCAATGCACTGCCTTTGACGGGTCGGTATACTATATTTTAGTATAGTGCGGTACAGTCTGTGACAGCATGTGTAAATATGTATATATATATACATATATATATATACATATATTTGTTCAATGAATAGTTATGTACATTACATGTTTTGGTATATATATATATATAATTTATATATAAGTATATATATATATATGTGTGTGTGTGTGCGTGTGCGTGGTGAATTGTTTACTCCTTCAAAAAGTTATGTTTATCTTGACGTGTTGTTCACTTATGGTTTATGTAACGATGTATCTATTTGTTTTGACATGTACATGTGCTTCATATACACACACATGTAAATAATAAATACAAAAACAAATAAATAGATAAAAATATAGATATAGATATAAGTACAAATATGAATATTATAAATACGAATCTAAATAAATATCAATATAAATATAAACATAAATATAAATAGAATAATATATATATATATATGTTTTATTTCGCTGCATGATATTAGAACATGTTCTATTATACTATACTGACTGTATTATAGGCTGTTTCACAGATCATGAGATGGAATGGATTAGACGTAGGACCCCGGCAAACGTCGCTACCCTGGAACTGCCAAAAGTCTAAGAGCACAAGGTGCACGACATGAGAGCAAAAGCAGCAGTCCTTCTTTTCCCAGGTCAAAGCAGACCTACCCGCGGCATTTAGGGCTTTCGTGGCCATCATGCTCGGCTATAATGCTGCCATCGCGATCGTGAAGGCCTCCTAAACCAGTGAATGTTGGGGCACGTGGCAATGAACACGCAGGTCTATATACTATACAGCGTATGCAGGCGGCTAAAGGCTTCAGTTTGGGCGTCATCAACTCGGTGACGTGCCTTTCGGCCGGGTTCTGTTCTTAGACCGCTTCGGCGGCTGCTTCCTGCCGCAACGGGGGGGTAGTCAGTTAGGATTTTGTCGGGGTTTGTTGTGCTGAGACTCTCAGCAGCATTCTGGTTGGATTTCGGTCCTGTGCAGCATTTGGCTCGAGAGCTGTGGCCAGCCCCACGACTCCCCCCTGCCTCGCGAGATGCTTCGTGTCCGCTTGGTTTCGGGACACGAGATCGCCGCTTTTCCCGTTGATGAACTGAAAGACTGGGAGGATCAGTCCGTGAGGGCGTTGAAGCGCAAGCTCTCGAGCCGGTGTGGGTTGCCGAGATTCAGACAGAGGCTCCTGACCCCGGATGGCACTGTTCTACCAGAAAGCACCTCTCTGGATGGATCGGTGGAGCTGCAACTCGTGCTTCTGGACTTTGCGGAAACTTCCATCGACCAGGCCTTGGAACTTCAATCAGCAGCCAGACGCAAAAGAATCCCAAAGGTGGAGGACTTGTTGCAACGGCCGCAAGATCCAGACCAAACGGATGGCCTTCGGACTCCTCTTGTGAATGCAGCCTTCCACGGAAACACGGAAGTCCTCCGACTCTTGCTGGAAGCCAGTGCAGACTCCAACAAGGCACGCTACGATGGTTCGACCCCTTTGGTAGTGGCTTGCTCCATCGGCTCTTCGGAAGGCGTTCGTCTGCTTCTTGAGTCCGGGGCGGATAAGGACAAAGCCGGCCCAAGCGACGGGACCCCTCTGCTTCTTGCTTGTCAGAACGGCTTCTTGCAGGTCGTGAATTTGCTGCTCCAGGCAGGAGCCGACAAGGACAAGGCCCGCAACAACGGCGCCACCCCCTTGTTCATCGCATGTCAGCAAGGTCATCTTGAAGTCGTCCGTACTTTGTTGGAGGCAGAGGCTGATGTTGACAGGGCCTGCTGCAATGGTGCAACCCCACTCTACATCGCATGTGAGCAAGGTGGCTTGCAGTTCGCTCACGCTTCCCACGCCTTGGTGCAGTCTGGTGGAGACGATGCCTGGTGGTTGGAGAGGTTCCGCCTCTACTCCGAATATTACGAGTTCCGCCACCTGGCGGTTGTTCGACTCCTGCTGGAGGCCCGTGCTGACACCGATAAGCAAATGCTCCTCGATGGCGCAGCTCCTCTCTTCATGGCATGTCAGCAGGGTCACGCGGAAGTCGTGCGTCTGCTACTGGAGGCTGGTGCAGATAAAGACAAAGCTCGATACGATGGATCAACACCAGTGCTCGCAGCTTGCACCGCGGGCCATTTCGAAATCGTTCAACTACTTGTCGAGGTGGGATTGTCCCAAAATCAAAGGCCTCTCAATGTAAACTCTTGAGGGATCTACTCCCAAAGGAAACCCCCGCAGGGGCGCTAAAGACTTTCTTGCCGAAAACGTTCCTGCTTTCAAGGTCAGCGCAGACACCGACAAAGCCAGCGACAGTGGCGACACCCCGTTTGGCGTGGCATCACGTCGTGGCCATCAAAAAGTGCTTGAGCTGCTCTCAAGCAGGCTATCAGACGGAGCGCAAGTCGGCTCCGACCAGCCCGCAAAGAGGGCGAGGTTTGCTGACAATTCGGAATTTGGTGGCGTAGATAGCTGCCCTTGAACACAAGCGTGAAGGAAAATGACTGCTCCAGCTTGTAAGCGTTGACATAAATAGCTTCCCTTGGGTTTCATCGCACGGCTTGCAGAAACCCTCCCATATGTGCTGACCCCTATCTCCCACACTGTCATGCCTTGCCCTTTAAATCCGCCTCACCATCAACTTTAATTAACTATGCTGTAATTAACCTTCTGCTTCAAAAGCGATGCCGAAACCCGGTCCAGGCCCGAAGTGTCTGAAATAATGGAGTTGTAGAGTCCCCCTACAAACCCTAAACCGGGTACAGAGCCCACTGGTACCGCAGGTATACAGGGCTTACCAAGGTTTCGGATGAAGCACTCTCGAGCCAGAGACTCTCAAGCTCGCCCGGCTCCAATTCCCAATAAATATAACATAATAATAACAACAATAATAATAACAACAATCATATTAATATATAATATAATATTAATAATATAGTAGAATGTAATATAACACAACACAATATAACAAAATACAACTGCATGGTACTATGGCGTATATAGTTTGTCAGGGACTATATAAGGGCAATCATTACTGAAAATTCCGACCCCCTGCCGTTTCAAGCGCTTTTTGCTCGCGGGAGGCGGCGATGAACTTCAGCGGCATGCGAGCAATGATCGCGTTCCGCCGCGCGCTGACGGCCGCCGTGGCAAGAAGGGATTTAGAAGTTTAGGGTTAGGGTTAAGGGGTTTAAAAAGGGGGTCAGCTTCAAAGCTGGTTTCATAGGGTTCAAGGCTTTAGGTTTACAGGGTTTGGCCCTAAGACCCAAGGCAGCTCTACAATGCCATGGATCTGACCTGAAGAAGGGGGGAAGCATTCATTAGATCCCGGGTCGGAGGGGGGTGAGGTGATGGCTTTTGCAACACTGCATGCTTTTCATGTTGCCGAAAAGAAGGTGCTGTGCACCACCAAGAAAGATAAGCAGAAGAGACCAGATGAAGCTCGAGGGATCTGAGGCTTGTGACAGGATGACATGATATTATGTTTGATCCTGGGTTCTAAGCAGCAAGTGCACTAATTTGGGAACACCTCGATGTCTTCGGATCAAACCGAAAACCCCGAAGCCCAGAAAATATCCCACATCTCCCAAGACCTACAAATCACAAATCCCTATTTTCCTGGCAAGGAGCATCACCATGCAGCCTACATGAGCCGAGAAGGACGGCTCTACTACACCATCGGCCGCTCGAAGAAACAGCTCAGGCTTCAGGTTTAGGTTTTTGGGGTTTTGGGTTTAGGAAGATTAACTTTTGGGGTTTTGGGTTTAGGAAGAGGAGATGTTCGGAAATTGCAAGCGAATCTTGGCACAGATGAGCCAGTTTAATGCAGGGAAGCATTCAGGTATCAGTCAGCTTTGCCCCCCATGTTTGGGCTGGGTACAACTGCATCCGGGCTCAGGGCCGTGTATAGAAGGTTGATAAAAGCAGTTGCAGAATCCACTGGGCTGATGTGCCAAGTTTCTCAAGAAATACTGAAGATAGTCATCATAATAAATGTTAGTACCGTAATAAGATAAGAACACCAATAATGACATATTCTCCTCAGACTTCGGGAACAGAGAAAGTGCTTCGAATACGAGAAAAGCAGACCCCTGGAAGCCCGTTTTGGTCCAGCCTCTGGCCTGCGGCCTTAGTAGCGCGATCTAGCAGTCCCCAACTTCATCTTGCAGGGTTGAGGGCTGAGGGCGTTTGGGCCATGGCATCCCTCAGATCCTTAAGTGCGCCACCCCTGCAGACTCCAAATCCTAAACTGCCCTAAGTAGTACCCGAAAGTGCAACTGCTCAGGTAATCTGGATTACCGGATAGACACGCCTGATGCCATCATCACCAACGACACCGACCTACTTCTGCAGTTCCTGTTCGAGTTTGTCTTCGGGGGGCCGCATGGCGCTGTTGGGGTTCTGGAGAGGTGGGGATAAGGTGGATAAAGAAGTCGAAAGTCGTTTCAGCGTGTATATGGGTGAACACACGGTTCAATCCGTTGGATTTGGCTCAGCGCCTCACGGTTTATTGGTTTTTCAGGCTTGTTCCCGTTTGTTGACGACAAGCGCTTTGCCTGCGGCCCTGTTTGGGTTAGAGCGACCCACAGGGGAAGATGAAATCTGAAATATTTTCGAATATACGATGTTGAAATCCTCCTTCTGGGTTGTCCTTTAAGCCGCATCGCTAGCTTGCTGTATGTGATGAGACCTTCGCTTCTTTAGCTCCAAGTTTGGGAGCTGCTTAATTCCCATACCCCCCTGGCCTTCAGTCGTTGACCCCTAGCCTGCCCTGTAGAGCCCTCAGCACAACTAAGATTCCCAAACTCGAGGCCGAATGCCTTATGGTTAGGTTTAGTTCCTGAGACAGAGTATTATCCCTCTGCATCAACCCACCCGCAACGGGCAGTATAGATCCCTTTATATGGCATTTCTGACACAAGCCCTTCGGGTAACACCTTTTATGGTATTAGTGCCGCTTACTGTCGACCCTATAGTAGTGCTTATAAATCAATTAGAGAGCCCCGCTACCGCAACACTTATAGCAACCCCGCCCGAAAGCCAACCCTAATGACCCTTACAGTACCCCTCACACCTAAGCCCTAAACCCTGCGTAAGCTCTCTAGCCCTGACTGTTAATTTGTTGCCGAGGATCATGAAGCCTGAGTCGGGATCCTTCTGCCAGCCCCGGGACTGCAAGGAGTTTGTCGTCTGTTTTAGGGTTCGGGGTTTGGGGCGTATAGGGCTTGACGGTTTAGATGTTTGGGTTCTAGGATTTTGCGGCTGGCGTTTAGGAGTTTTGGGGTTTGGGAAGCTACATTGGACGTCGAAGCCACAAGCCGGCAGTAAGTTCTGGAAGTATTGTCACAACCTCGCAAAGCCCTTTGTGCCCCCTTCTGGAACTCCAAGGCCCAAAACGCTGTGGAAAATTCAGAGAACTCACCTGAAGAGCCACCCAGGCTCTTTTTCCTCGTCTTCACAGTGGCCGTGGCCTACTTCGAAGCCGAGGACGCCCTTCAATCGTTTCGGGGGGTTCCTCCTCCCCGGGATCTTGGAGCCTATAGCTCCTAGCTAGGCCCAGGCTGGTTTGTTGAGGTTTAAGGTAGGGGCCTTAATACTTAGAATAGGGCTTTTGGGGCCCATTATACCACAATTGTAATAAGGAGCCCCCCAAGACCCCATTCTAATTATTAAGGCCCCTACATTATGGCTCTGGCCTTCAGGGCCGGCTCCAGGCGCTCTGGTACTTTTTGATCAGGGAACCTTGCCTGTAATCGGAACCTGTGCTTGATTTGCCAGGAGGGCTTAAAGGAGCTAGTGCATGTAGACTTTTCAAGCGCAGGCTACCCTCGGATCACGAATAGCCATGCGGCAATGCAAGAGCAGAAACTATAGTTGTAGCAGTCCTTGACAGCAGCCGCAGCAGCAACGAGAAACAGCAACGCTCTGCTTGTCGATGCTGCTGCCGGCGCCTCTAGTTGCACCACTGCTATTGCTGTGGCGGCACACTTATGCCCTGAACCCCACGTGACTGTGAAATCCAGGATGGTGCTCCAGGATGGGGCTTACCCTCGATTGGCCTCTTGACTTATCGGAACCGTTGGGTCTACCACCCTCGAAGGTGCAGGGACTTTTTGGGGGGCCGGGTTCTTGGAGTTTCGCTCCAGGGAATCCGGTGTGCTGCGTGTGAGAGGAATTTCTCAGTTGTACCACACCCCTTGCAGGAGGGCTTGGCAGACCCATAAGGACGAAGCCAACAGGACCGAAACCCAGTATGTTCGACACCATTCGTCCAAGAGCCGACATCATGTAGCACTACCCTGAACTCTAAGGCCTAAACTCTAACCGAATCATCCGAATCGTAAGTGTGGCTTGGGACTGTTGGAGCATCCAGCCAGCAACCTCCGACCTTCTCTGTGCCGTGTACTGCAGTCCCTATTTACTGTGAGGAGCAAAAAGGCCTCGGTAAATAAAAAATAGTTTCAGACTCTCTCGGGAATATTCGGGAATGTAGTATACTTGATTTAATTAAGTGTTAAAGTTTGTTCCTGTACTACTGCAAACCCCAAAGATACTGGACGGTTCTAAACACCCTCCCGGAGCAAAACCCGAGGCATTGCTTTCGCGGTAGTGATCGTGTCCTTGGTTCCGACTCTTTGCGCAGCCGATGGTCTCACGAAGGCAAGTTGCAGCAAATTTTGAAGTTCGAAGCCCTGAGGAGATACTCACACCTAATCACTCTGAGACCGAAGCCTCACCCCACTACTCGAACACCGCGTGCCATCAACGAATCCCTGAGCCGCAGAACTACACCCGACTAAATCCCACGCCAGCGAGGCCCATGTCATAAAGCACCGAAGAAGCCTGCTGTACATCCTCCATGCCTACCGGGTCCTACCATGTAGAACTGTTGTAGAATCGTAACCCTTTTACAGTGAACCCATACTAGCATCCCTTATTGTAGTAACTCCGATGGTGGACCCTGAACCCCGCCAAAAGCTTCTCGCCAGCTGTGGCCAGGCCCAAACGGAGGTTCAGGCAGCCGAGGCCGAAAGAACTTCGGGTGCCATCTATTTCGGCTTTGGGAGTCGAGGTTGCTGTAGGGGAATGCAGGTTTTTTGAGGTTTGGGTTCCGAAACAAGACGGGGAAGAACAACTACCCAGCTCGAGTGTCCTTCTCCTCCTCGGAGTCCAAGCCCCGAACCTCAAAACCCTTACTGGAGATCTTCACCCTCGGTATCCGTAGACCCTGCAAGAAAACAAGAACAGCTACACTACATTCTACACTCAATACACACTGGAGAGATGTTGTTTCATTTCGTTGAGGTCTTGCGGTTCGGGGTGTGGCGCCGTTGTGGGGTTTTGGGGCTTTGGCTTGAGAACTTGGGTGAGACGAAGGCTTGCATCGTCTCTTGGGAGGGTGGAGGTTCAGCTGTTGCTAGAGGGGTCGTGTCAGTCCGTATGCTTTGAGCATCACTACATTTATGCCCCAGTGCAGCTGCATGAGTTACAGATGAGAGACAGTTTCCTGCCCGGTAGCCGGGATTGATGGCATTGCTGTGGGGAAGACTGGAGCGGAGGGTTGGGGGTGAAAGGGATGCCTTGCCGCGTCCATTGCCACTCGGGCGTTGCTGGAATACCTCCTGATGAACACCCTGGACCTTGCTGCTTTCCGGTCGTCTTGCTTTCGATGTCGAAGTCGTAGGACAAAGTATAAAGACCATTCAACTAGCAAACGTGGTTATTTGTCAGGAAACAGAAGCATGAGCAGCAGGCACAAAACATACCCTAGGAAAGCATGCAGATGTGTGACGGATCATCAACTAACTCACAGAAATGTGCCATGCTCGCTCTGCATGACACTATGACAATCGTAACCTTGGTGGCTAAAGAACTCCCCCATCGGCTTTCACTTGCCCCTGGAACCCTGGAGCCGAGCTTTGCACCAAAGCCCCGGCCCCAAGCTTAGCTTGAGGCGGCGTTACGCTCGGCCCATGCCAAATGCGCCCTTTTTGCGGTCGCTGGGCGAACGACCGGGCTTAGGGACCGACTTTGGAGCCGGTCCGCCTTCCTCTACTGCGGTAGCTGCGACAACGCAACGGCAACACGTGAGCCCAACGGAAGCAGCGCGAGTGGCGACATTTGTACTGAATTGTACTGCCTTGTATCCGCACTGACTACGCACCATGGCTGTCACCAGCATTAATTACCTGCAGTCACTTTTGTCACCGTCTTCGTCATCTTCATCTCCGGAATCAGCAATACCTCCAGCAACATCGGGACCTCCCCAGTGCCATCAAGTCATATCGCCGGTGCCCCGGGTGCTCTTTGGGAGTTTCACACCCTCCAAGCCTGAGACCCGCTTCAGCATTTGTCAGTTCAGGGTCTTAGGGTGCGACTCTGCCGAGGAGTCTATTTGTTTCTACGGTGGAGAGGAAAGCGAGAAAGAGCGAATCGACAATCTCTACGCCGCCTGGCAGGGAGATGACCCGAATTTTCGATGGGCAAGAAGTCAACGATACATTGCGCATTGCGACCACGGCTTAAGCCAAAGCAGCTAATGCAGGCCGTATATGGAAGGCTACCTGCTCTAATTTCGGGACGGCGGTGGCTCGAAGGATCAGGGCATCAACCCTCATTGAGAAAGGGGAACATGGGCCCTAAACGCCTAAACTGGATACAGGCTTCCGCACCTGGGCGTTCAGGGGTCTGATCCCCGACTCCCCAAACCTCAAGCCTGCCCTTGAAGCACGACGCTACATAGGGTTGCAGGCTCCGTGTGGGTACTTGCTACCCCTGTCAGTGTGTTTGTGACATTTCCCTGATGTCATGAAGACCTCCAAGCCACTCTTCCGGCTAATTATGATTGCCATCATGGGCTACGGCGTAACATGGTTTCTTAGTTGTTCCGTAGATGAATTAGACGACTACATACCCCAGCACCCCATTCTGATGATTGAGGCCCCAAGCCCAAAACCCTAAACCCGAAGAGCCCTAAGCCGTACCTGGACCCCAAAAGTATGTAGAATAATAGCCTTTTAGAGGTTTTGGGCCATTATTTTACCAATTTTGGGGGGTTTAGGTTTCAGTATAAATCTGCCGGGGTTTCCGGGCAGCGAGAAGCCTCCGAGGATGCCGTCCGAAATGGCTTCCATCGCTTTGCCAAGCACCTGGGGCGAAAAAGGGTGTCGTAGCTCCCTTTCTGGTGGTTCATATTTAGAATCCTATAGGGTAATCCCAAAAAGGAGCTACCAAGGAGCCTATGGGAATTGTCGGAATCAGTTTCCTAGTGTTCCATATCGTAACCATATATTTATTTAATATCGGGCCCGAAGCTCTACTGAAGATTATAAAGGCCCTTGCTTTATGTCGTATTTGTTTGTGGCTTTCGCGGCCGGGGTCGCGAAGGGCGGGGGCATGGGGAGGGGGAGCGGGGGGGTGGAGGTGCTTGAAGGCAAAAAAAACAGATTGAACACAAGCTGCATCGGGTGCAGCGATTTTCACGCAGCTGCCAAGAAACCGCTGTGCCCAGCCTTTGTCACAGCCCAACACTCAACAGGCATCAATAGGAGGTTGCAAAGCCCTGTGAAAGCGCACACAGCCTGTGGGTTCAGGATCTGGAGCTGGTACAGAAAATGGAAGTTACTGCTTACAGTAGACTGAAGGATGCCTCACGAGCCTTACCGACCCAGGTACAAGCTATTGGTGGATCTTAGCCAACTGGCCTTCTACTTCGGTTTGGCTCCCATCTCGATGACGATGGCGGCCTTCATCGTGCGGAAAGGCCGCGCTGCGTGAATTGAACTGAGGGTTTCGGAGCTCAGGGCACTGAGTCTGCATAGCTTCACAGTCCCAACTTCCCGGTTCCTCGATCTGGCAGCAAGAACCCCGCAAGAATCCTAGAAAGCCGTCCAGACGGAGGGTACAAGTCATGTTCGGAACTAGCCTGGTACTGGTACGGGAAATCTCCCAGTCAGCACGAATCGCAGGCATCCCCCCGGCCCTCAGTCCCGACACCCACAGCCAAATCCCGAAAGGGAGACTTTCGGTTCTGCCCACTGTGGAGTAAACTCAATCCAGCACCTGTTCTTGAGTTTTGGCACCGGGCGTCACGAGTCTACAGAGGCCTTCTGCGCGGTGTCGCGGAACATCAGGGAGCTCTCAACCCAGAAGCCTGAACTCCAAAAGGTAACAACCTCCACCTGTCAACCCCCAGAGCTCTAAACAAAACACCGGCCCTAAAAACAGCCAAAATGCCCCTTGGATGGGCCCGACAGCTTCAAGCGCTTACTGTGCGATTCCGGGTCGATCGCTGGCTCCAGGGTTCCAGCAAGGTGCATATATAGTTTGGTACCACACCAGAAATATGAGTTTTATGTTACAATGAACATGGGAGACTGGGCAAGGCAACTGGACGCAGGACTCCGAGACGACATTTTATGTGCCTCAGCTGATCTCGGGTACTATATGGGGTTTCAGGTTCAGGGTGTAGGTAACAGAGTTTCAGTTTAGGGTTATAGGGCTTTAGGGGTAAACGGTGTCAAGGCCTCGGCTCGTGCCTCTGGCGGTTGGGGTTCTCATGCCCCTTCAGGGTTTTGGAGGATTTGGGAGTGACCGGTGCAACTGCAGCCATCGACCTCGAAACCTATGTTTGCTGAGTCCCTGAAGAGCTAATCCGGGTCGGCATGCTCATTAGGCGGGCAGCATTCATGTGTGGACTTCTGCAATGATCAACAATGCTATCGTCACTGTTCTTGCTGAAGCTGGCATGACTGCTTTTCTGTCATCTCTTTCGGTCGGCGCCAGGAGGAACGTTGTGTGAACACACGTACCTTAGGATTCGTAAAGGCTGTCAAGCCGGGCATTGAATTCCTGGCAGCTTTCAGGTGCTCAACCTCACTTTTCTGCGAATCATCCGCTGCTGCTTGGAGATGGCGAAGAGCGTCGTTGACCTGGCAAAGGCCCGTCGCAAGCGGTTGAGACCCTTGCGAGAAGCTTCATCGAAATCAGTTGGTTTGTTAGAGTCTTCCACTATAGCCTACTGCAGCTTCTACGACTCTGGGATCTGAAATTTGACTCCGCGCACTGGGAATGTGCTTTGAGGGCAGCTCGCCACGGGATCTCAGATGTTGCTTCTTCAGCTCTGTAGTAAGACATGCCGTTCCAAGAGAAGTCCTGAAGGACGAGCACCCGAAGCCGAGGACCCTCCCGGCACTCCATAACCCGACGGGTCCGACAGTCTAGAGCCAAAAAAGACCCTTCGGGGGCAATGAAAGTCCTCAGAGTGTGGGCTCTCCTGAGTCCAGGCTTCCGGGTTCAGAAGAGGCCAGCTGCTGAGCCCTCAACAGTAGTCAGCGGGCCTCCATCAGGCTTTGGACACTAGCAAGTACTAGCAAGTCATTTGCAGCAGGCACAGCGAGGACACAGTCGACTATCGGTTTCAATAGCAGTGGCATTCATCACAGCAGTTACAGTGGTAGTAACACTGACGGTCATGCCACTGTGAATATAAAGTTAACAGCCATATGCAGAATCAGGACTGCAACGAGACCAACTAACAGAAGAGTATAGAGCCATACCATAGATGCCTAATCCTAATTGCTTTAATGTCCCTATGTTAACCGCTTATACTAAACAATTATAGTAACCCTTTGTTGCAGCCCTTCTATCACCGTCCCCGTCCCGATATCCTAAACCCCAAAGCGATGCGCCTTATAGAACCCTTCAAGGTCCGTATAGTCGAAACTCAAAACCCTATAACCTAAACCTCTGTATGAACGAGCCACAGCAAAAACGAGCCATTGCCAGGCTCAGGCCATGCTTCAGCGGGTGGTACAGCTCTTAGAGGTGACTTGGCTGCGCAAAACTGCGCTTGAAGAGTCGAGTATAATATGCAGTCTATGGTTTGGGGATAGTATAGTATATAGAATAGAATAGTATATTACAGTATAGTGTGTATTACAGCACATCATTGTACTACATTCAAGTATAGGTATAACATAGTGTAGTGCGAGTTTTGGGCATTCCTGGACTTCAAGAAAGATTGTTGCTTGGCGGTTGAGAATGCTGTGCAATTGTGTCCGGTCTTTCAATATCAATCCCTGTTCCAGCGCTCGCCTCGCTCTTTGTAGGGCTCCTACGCACATAGTATGTAGTTTGTATGGTGTAGTATGATATTGTGTCGCATAGTCTCGTGCGGCATAGTACATAGAAATGCATGTATAGCCCAGTTTAGTGTACTTTAGTGTTGTAGTGTCGCAGGTCATGGATGCCTTCATCGTCTTCGAGAATCACCGCAAGGAGATGTGAGTGGTTTAGGTGCTCGAGGTTTCAAGAGGGACGGTTAGGCTCGAAGCACATAGCCGTGCACTGGGTCTCGGTTTATAAATCACACTGTTAACGTTGGAACGCAAGTAGTTCGACACTCACTCGACGAGTGAAAGCATCTTGTGGCGGATGCCTGACAAGCAAAGCAACATGCATGTGCAAGGCATCCCCCAACTCGAAGCAAGCGGCTCGTCTCTGACCTGCTCTCCTCGTTGAAGAAGACTCGGCTGATGACATGTTGCCACTTCCTCCCCGGTGGCTTCACCTTCCAGGCATGTCCCCACCAGACAATCTTTCTTTGAACTGCTACAATATGCTCCGTTGCTGTTCCGTGCTGTCGTGCCTTGCTCTTTACGAGTATTGCGCATACTGATGATGCCTGAGTCAAACTGCTGCAGAAGCCTCCATATGACATATGATACAAGTTTCACAGGTGCATGTCGAACAAGGGTCCAAACGACCTGACATGCCACGGAGACTCCTGGAAGCACGACGAAAGCACCCAGAAGGGCCACCTTCTTTAGTGTCAGCCGTGACTCTTGTTCTGCTGCAGCATTCGCCTGATGCGTTCACCGCATTCGTGCTTTGTTCGGTAGCTGTGCTTTTTTCGAGTGAGCGGGGCCCCGCCTCAGGCGCCCTCCCGGCTTGTCATGGGGCTCCGAGCGCGCTGGCCTCTGGAATCAACGTGCAAAAACCAGCATAGGCCCAGTCTGGCAAGAGGTCAAACCTGCCATCGTGTAGGGCAACAACTAGGCAAGCCCGCCACCTGCACCAAGAACGGCAGGCAGGCATAGGGGCAGGATAGCGTACAATCCTCGCGGAAGCCCCACTCGAAAAGCTCTCTTCAAGGAGGTCCCCCTCCAAGGTACCAGGCGAAGCAAGCAACATCCCTCTGCGACGAGCTGCGCGCGGCTAGGCGCCATACTGGCATAGTACGCTTCCCCGCAGATCTTTCTGCAGGTAGCTAGGTGCAGCATAGCCCCTGCCTGCGCATCCGAATGCTCATTCATATCCTGTATAAGGGGGAGTGGACACATTTCAGCCATCCCCCCAGGTCCCACAAATGATAACAGTGCGCCCTCAGAGTGCCGCAGTGGAGCCCGAAGCTCCAGGTAGCACTCTGGACGAGGGGGGTGACTGCGTATCTGTTGTTTTTCCCATTATTGTCAGTTGCTGTAGGACCCTTGTCGCTCAGGGTCCAAACCTTGAGCCCGAAAGCCGGCATTTTACACCCCAACCCATAAACCCTGGACCGAAACCCAAACCTGCAACCCCTGGGTGTGCACGTGCAGACAGTTCATGCTGCTTTGTTTTTCGCACATCCTCAAGTCAGCCATCTAACCTAAAACTATCAGCTGCCAGGCCCTGGCCTTAAGTGTTTGGCCGCTAGCTCGCAGAAACACCCTGGAGCGCTTAACGCAAAACTCCCAAACCCCGAGTCTCAAAGCCACAAAATGGCCCAATGCCCCGAACCCTTACTATAGTATCTCTTATACAGAACACGTTTGGAAACCCACACCAAACCTTGTGGTACCCTGATAGCCCCCCGCCTCCAGCCAAAATTCGAAATGCAGAATCAATATTGGGGTGGTTATCTCTACGGTCATGGATTGCACACTTGCAATCTCTCTCTTTGCGTATGTCCCTCTCCCTCTCCCGCTCTCTCGCCCCCTCTCTCTCGCTCTCTCTGCGTCTGGTCGCCCGGGCATCTATATGTGTTAAACGACCGAGTTTCTCTTGAGATTTACAAATCACAGGACGCAGCAACCTGTTCGGACTTGAGGCCTAGCCTCCCAACCTTTCCAAGACAGCCACCAAACTTAAACTCAGGTTGTTTTCCAGCCGACACTTGTCAAAAAATCGTGCTGCGAAACCAAAACTGCAGCCCTTGAGATCCCTTAAGCCTCCAGCTTGCACGCCAAGTCGATAGTTTTCCGGCAGGAGCAGGGTGCCTTGAGTCGGGCAGACGGGTTCCTCATCGACGAGGAGGAGGTGACCATCTCCCACTGGAAACACACAATCAGATCACTAGACGTGTACCCGAAGTACAGTTTGGATACCAAGTAGGAAGTTACAAGGAAGATCGGTATGAAGGCAGGTGCCGAAGTGGGTTATTTTTTATTCGGATGTCGGCATATAGACGTATGTACGCCATGCGCCATCCACACGTGCGTGTGCGCAGAGTCATCGCTCTCTCCAGCTCTTTGTGTCTCTCTCTCTCTCTCTCTCTCTCTCGCTCTGTCTCACATGGACGCAGCTGGGTACAAAGCAGATATGCATTTGCCACACAAATGTTCAACATGGCCACGTTGTGTCTGATCATCATTGCACTTGCCAAGATACTTCTTTGAGTTGGAGGCAAAACTGGTTTTGGATAGAAAGCCACAAGATGACCCGTAACACTCTTCACCAGGTTCTCTGCTGCTTGTCCTACTACCGCGTGCAGCAGCTGCATTGTGGCGCTGTCGTGCCACTCACGCACGCCGACTATGTGGGCTTCGAGCAACTTGGAGTATTAGGTAGGGTTGACTGGAGTGCAGACACAAGCTACACCGCAAGCCGCCCACACCAACACTGTCTTTTCCAGAAGCACGGAGGCATTTTCTTCATGTACGCATGCCCCTTGCCATGCCTCCAGCCGCTAAAGGCACATCGGGCAGCACAACATGGCTGAAGCTCAAGACTTGGGGGCCTTCGTAGATTGGCCAGGTTGGGTGTAATTACGGTGTCGACGGTCTGGAACCGACCGTGTCCACCAGAAGCAGCCACCAAGGCACGTGGACATCTACACTCCCGATGGCATGAGGCCCGCTCCCTTCCGGGACGTTTGAAGCCCAAATTTGGCATAGTTACCACGAGCTGCTTCCCGAATTGTGAGAATTGCGCGTTATTCCTGAACTCCCAAGACCTGAGACCCTCTTTTAAGGCCCCTGAAAATCCAGGTAACACCAAAAGCTCAAGGCAGCTCGTGCACGGTTGTGCGCTTGAGCTCGGGTCTGGGGACTAAGAGTTTAGGGTTTTAGGGTTTTAGGGTTTAGGTTTTAGGTTTTAGGGTTTATGGGTTTAGGGTTTAGGGTTTAGGTTTAGGGTTTAGGGTTTATAGGTTTTAGGGTTCAGGGTTTAGGGCAGCGGAGATTCAGCTTCGAGCACACACGTGGGAAATCGGCCTCTTTTTAGATGCGGGAGGCATTATGTAGCGGTGTCGATGGATTCTATGGAGACTGTGCAGGATATGATCGGTTGGTAGCTGCTCTCTGCATCTAGTTTTCAAAGACAGTGGCAGAAGTAATGCTTCCAGCTTGGACCACATGTTACACCCTAATTTAACACTAAGAAGGGGTAGACAAGGCCCCAAGACCCCGCGACGTGAACCCCGCTTTGGGGCCCATATCTCTAAGCCCCAAACCGAGCCTGTGACCCCGGAACTTAAACCAAGACACTTAAGCCCTAAACCCCAAACACGAAACGCCAGACCCTAAACTCGAAGCCCAGGCCCTGGACTCGACCCTCAACCCTAAGCCAAGAAAGAAGAAAGGTGCTTGATGCGGGACATCAGCCTGAGAATGGATCCTGGAGAGTCTCGTGGCTGCCTTCTGGGATTGAAATTCGCTGCATTGCGGCCTATAGTATTGCCCTTAACTGAAATCAAGCCGTAAACATTTTGGGTTTCACTTAAGTAATGATGAGTTGGCGATGAAAAAGAGGTTTAACAGGGCCTCGGGTCTTGGAAGTGGCTTCCGGCATTGGTTTCGAGTTTGTCTTTTGCAGCCTGGAATCGTGTTCCGATGGGATTGAGCAAGTTTTGTGGGAATCTACCGGGTATAGGAGGCATTCCTCTGTGTCTACGACATTTCTATCCACATGTCTCAGAATGCGCGAGCTCTTTTGCCAACGAGGACCAAACCTCGGTTTAAGAGCTAGGTTTGAGATAACTAGTCCACTTTCTTCCAGGCTTGAAGGCTTTAAGTGGCCTTGGTGTGCGTAGTGTGCAATTGAAAGAGGCCGATGTGTTTCCCGAGTCCCCTGGGTGCAGTTTGCACGACAATATCACATCATGGCTACAATCAGCGCCGTCAGCAGCATGCATGACCCGATTGAATGCCAATATGGTTCAGAAAGCTTCTCTACTGAATACCGAAGCTTCTCTCAGCTTCAAAAGCCTGGCCATTCGAATCTGGATCTCAAGCTTGGCATGGTCCGGCCAAGGCATGTCAAACTTGCAACCCAGATTTGGGCCGAAGGTTTGCTGAGAGGGCTTGTATGCCCAACTCGAAATCCAGATTCGGCCAGCAAGCCGAATTTGAAATCCAGATTCGCTGCGAAGGTTTGCTCTAAGCGCCAGTAGCCCAGTATGCCAAACTTGACGCCCAGATTCGGGCCAAAGGTGAAATCAGATTTGGGTGTCAAGCTTGGCATGTGTGGGTTTCAACAAGCCTTTTCGCGCATTAGAGTCTCAGGCAAAGCAGGGTGCATCGAAGCGTCAGGATCCCAGTGCGTCATGGCATCACAGGCAAGGTGCGCCGCTTCAGGTGAAGTGCTAATGAAGCAAAACGCGTCAGTGCACGAAGCACAGCGCAGCAGGGCGTCACAAGACAAGCGCAGCGTGTGAGGCGGAGCGCATCGGAGCGCTTGTTTTGAGAAACAACATGGGGCTCCACTCTAAGATATACTCCCCACTTCTACAATCTTGTGTATGACTCAACCTGTCACTCCAGCTGTGTCTTCGGTCCCAAGGAGTTGCCTGATCATGGGACCCAGTGGCATCGGCAAGTCCTCCCTGCTCAGGTGCCTTGGGTCTTCTGGACCCATCACATCCCCGCAACACCCAAAGAACCCTCAACTCAACCCCATAAGTTTATGGCTCATAGACCCTGAACTGCACCCTTAACCTGCGATCCAGAAATCCTGGACTTAGACTTAACCCTAAACCGATACCCTGCAATCATGGTTCACGGTTTGGCGTGAATGAACTGAAGCTATTCACTCTCAGGCTTTGAGGAGTAGCACGAGACTTGATGTGGTGTAGCATGCCCGTGTCTTGTCTTCTGCTTCTCGAGTCCGAAAGAACTGAGATCTCCTTTAGAGCGGAAGGAGCTGCGGTGGTGATGGCAAAGACAGGAAGAGGAATGGTCTTAGCAATCATAGCATACCATAGCCTTTAGCCAGAGTCATCGTAGTAATCATTGTGAAGGGTGGAGCCATAGCCAGATCGAAAAGCAATAATGCGAACAACAGTGAGTTAACGACGATAGTCGCAGTACTAGCCGTACAGGCAGCAATGATGATCCCTAGACTGGCCCTAAACACCTTAAACCCTAAACCTCCATTAGTTGATGCTCCCAGGGTGCTGGGGCAGCTCTGGCCGCTGTTCCGAAGCCCTGCAGACAAAGGCACTCTTGAACGAGTTTCGGGTTCAGTTGGTAGAAGATCAGAGTTTCGGTTTCAGGAGCTTAGGGTCAACAGCAACGTTCAGGGAGGCGAGCCCCGAATTTGTTGGCGAAGCCCAAACATCACAAGCAAATCTTCAAGCAGTAAGGTCCCCCCCCCCAGGTGCTCTCACCCGAGCAGCCTTAAGTTCGTTACCTTTATCACCATCTGCTTCGACCACTCCGGAGTCTTGATTCTTCGGACAGAAATCTGCAAAGACGCGAGTTCCAAGCCTTTAAACCTTAGACCGGCCAAGTTCGGCAGAAGGGATCACCGTGCAGTTCCAGACTCGCTCACGTTCGAGTCAATGACGGTCACAAAAACGATCCTGAAGAACAGGTAACTACTCGACTTGTGTAGGTGTTTTGGATGTGCGCCCGCTATCGTGAATGCCACGAACTACCGAACTACCTTCGTTAATCTTGTTCGGTCAACCTCGATCACTGCCTGCAACGCGAGTTGAGCGTTGAAAAGAGGCCGTTGCTCGAGCACAAGACTCCCAGACTCATAGTGCTTTGGGCCTTTGGGTGCCAAATCCAACAGCATCTCACGGACTGCAGGCGACGGTGCTTCGTTCAGTCGTCCTGGACCTTTCTCTGCAACTCGGCCCGGTTGCTTGAAGTCTATTTCAAGAGCGAGGAGAAAACATGGACCTGCCTCCCAAACCCTTTTCCATCATTCGTCTCCGGAAGCTCCAAATCGTACATCAAGCGTTGGAGCTACCAAGGTGTTTTTTCTGGCCCAGCGTCCATACCTCTTCCAGGGGACGCTCCGTGAGCAGGTGCCCACGGCCTAGGGTCCTAGCTCTACACCAAGCACACACCCTGAAACCCTAAAGTCTACAGTTTCAGGTCGAAGTTGTATCGCATCCGATGGACTTGGGAGGTGCCCTCCAGGTTCAGGATGGTGGGCTAAGGTTATCACTTGTGGCCGCTGGTAGTCTACTGCTACTGCTACTGCTACTGCTACTGCTACTGCTACTGCTACTGCTACTGCTGCTGCTGCTGCTGCTGCTGCTGCTGCTACTCTACTACTACTACTACTACTACGACGACTACTACTACTACTACTACTACTGCTACTCGCTGCTGCTGCTGCTGCTGCTGCTCCTGCTACTACCACCACCACTACCACCAGCACTAGCACTACCACTTCTACTGCTACTTCTGCCTCTACGTCTACTTCCACCATTACGGCGACTACTATCTCGGCGACGACAACAGCTACTAATGCTGGTGCTGCTGCTTGCCACTGCTGCTACTACGATGCCGACTGACTTTACAACAAGGTCGAACAACACTGTTTAACACCAGACAGAATTATATCGGTCTTGTGTTCAGGCTTTAGGGCAATCGGTCCCGTGCAGGTGGCCTATCCGATTTGGGACACGTCCCTCCTCACCGACCTGTCCGACGAGAAGATGGAAAAGCCCCCTGTGCGATAAGGTATCAGGGCGCAGAGGCTGCAGAACCTGGGAGTTCTGGGCTTCACACACAGGTGTTGTTGCACGACCGAAGTCGCACAGTAGTAGCAGTAGCAGCAGCAAAAGCTATGGGAGTAGGAGGCGGAGTCAGAGTACGTCGAAGTAGTAGGAACAGAAGGAGCGCGACCGAGGCTCCGAGTTCGAAAGACAAGTCCAGATCTCCACCGCAGATGTGCGAAAATTCCGGTAAAGGAAGAGCTGGGAATGGGATTGCCTTAAGTTGCGCGCACCATTTTCTGTTGAGGCTTTTCATGGAGAGTGGGCTCGAAGACGTTTGGGAAGCGAGGAGGTCAGAGCGTTTTCGTTCCGACATGGCGGTGCAAGCTTTACATATCAGACTTAGAAAGACTTATTTCTGACTCCGCGAAGCGCGCTTTGGCCTGTGCTGAAATCACTGCCCTGCAATATGGCAGGGATGAACTGGATGCTCCCGGCATTTGGTGGGACGATGTCCTGTCTTTGGGGGAGCAGCAGCGGCTGCAGTTCTGCAGGCTCGGAACGGGATTTCTGCAAGGATTCTGAAACACTGAGGGTTGAGGGTTCTGACAGTGGTTGCGGCTTGTTGAGAGGTTTCAGCAGGTAGCCTCAGGTTAGAGCTCTCGTGTTTGGGGCTTTTGCACACTCCGCCCCACTGTGAATGCTGACTCCCAGCCGGGTTCACCACTCAAGCCAATCTCATGCGAAGGCTCTTCTGGCATGCGGAGTGGCACCCTGGCCGGAATGTAAAATTTGGGGTATCCTTTTTGAAAGGTTCGGGTTTGTTCAGGCCTGGGCTCGAGCCCTGCATGGCTCCGAAGAGCTGCTGCCGGGAGGGGCTTTGCAGACTCGAAACGCCCCGAGACCAGGAAAACAGGCACAAAGCGGTGCTCAGACAGACACCGACGCATGTACCCAGACCGTTTTTACTGCGGGCAACATTGCTTTGCGCAGCTGTTGCTGATCGCTCCTTTTGACAGTGTATGCGTGCTGCTACTCTGCACTATGCAGTACTGTCGTTCCTCAGTGTTTCCTTCCCATCTAGACAACACGTAAAATCTCTCGACTCCTTAAACTCTCTAAACCTACACTTCTCCGCGAAGTCAATCGGTTTCTCAACCAAAGGTTCCAGGAGTACAAGAAGGAGTCGTCCGGCTTCTTCGTCTTCTGGCCTGCCAGTGGCTTCAGGTTTAGGGTTTAGGGGGTTAGAAGTTCAGAAGCCACAGCGATAATAGTCACGACAATTTCGACGATGGGGTTCGTCGGGTATACAAGTTCAAACCGTTTTCAGTCCAACAGTTGACACGCGGCAGAAGACAAACGGACAACCACCCAAGTCTTGAGTCGTTGTCCTTTGATCTGATAAACTCCCTGAACCCCGCGTCCCTGACCTGCTTCGCCAAAACCAAACTTGGTGAGACCTAGCCACCGTAAAGCCCGGCAGTGCCCGCCCCAAGAATTCTGAGGCATGCCCCTGACAGGGCCCGAAAAGCCTACAGTGCCTACAGCCCTGCAAAGTCAGCACTGACATGCCCCAAAATACAATAAGCCCTATCTCAAAGATTGAGCCCAAAAGTTCGAGAATCCATAAACAGTAAGCTTGAACACTAAATGCCCTAAGAGAAGCGATAGGCTTTATATTTTCTTTATTACATATTCAGTTCTTGGGTCATATTACATCGTACCATATTACATTGTGCCGTGACCGTTTGATCTTGTGTGTTGTACAGCCTATGAGATCATGTTATACTATGCCGTCTCACCTCAGATTAGGTTTTGTTATACTAGACTATAGCATCTCATGGTTTGTTATATTATACTATAGTACCTCCTGGTTGTTGGTAGTTTCTTCCCTGGTCCCTCCACCTAAAACCATAACCCCGGAGAACACCTCTGAGGCCGTGCTTGACGAATCCTCAGCCTCGATGGCCCGAGCCTGAGAGCTCGGGGGTGTTCCCGGTGTTGGTATGCTATACGCAGGTTATACGTACATAAATATACATGTGTATGTATGTATGTATGCATGCATGCATGCATGCATACATGTGTATATATATATACATATGTATATGTATTTATTGGTTTTATACATATAGACATAGATGTACATATTTTCATGTTTGTTTACTTGCCGCTTCCGCCAACGGAGCCTTATGTCGTAAGCTTCCTAGTCTACTCGGTATACCTCATGCATGAGCCAGCACGGTCGGGATAGTTGAAGTTGGTAGACTTGTAAGTCTCTCTTTGTCTTCAGCAAAGAAACCAGATACACTAATGGGTTTAGGGTTTAGGGTTAAGCCCCTGGCATCCACTTGCCCCAAGACTTTGATCCCTAATTCGCCGGCAAGAAACATCTAACCGGCAAAGAACTCCTAGAGTCCTTACAAAAGCCCTTAAGCCCGAGTCCCAAGGCTTTGGTTAGGCCCAACAACCTAGACCGGAAATAACCCACCCGAGCAGCGCAGTACGTAACCCTTTAGCTTAGTAACCCTTATAATAGTATTTGTTATAGATCCTTTATGGGGTGAGCACCGCGCCAAAAGATACAGAAGGATGGGCAATGGGCGAGATACATGTAGGGTCAGGAATTTTTGGGCCTCCCCGAAGCTTCACATCTCAAAGCCTTCACCACTGAAACCCGTCTTAAGCGAACTTTGCGCTCCAGAACAGGCGTAATTACACCATGCACAAGGGCTGCAAGCCTTCTCGTCTCCTGCCAGGATACAAAGTCTGAGATGAAGGCCCGTCTGCACAGGGTTTCAGTTTGGGGAGTTTCGGAGCAGCAGTGGGCCTCAGAGGATGATTAAAGGATGTATAGAGGATAAGAGCAGGGCTGTTGGGGTTTGCGGAGTGAGAAGGCTGTGAGGCAGTGAGTCTCCCCTATTATTCTGCCATGTTTGTGCACTCAAAGTGCCAGCCCACCCTGGGGAACAGTATCTTCCGCAAGGATCGGATTTGTGTGGGAAGCATCCCTGCCCGGAGCCTCAACGACCAACTAAATCGACTTCCTGGTAGGTCCGGTTCTTGGCAAAATTTGTGCACCGAAGCTCCAAGCCTCTTGGGCTTGCGACAATCACTGCAACTTGCATTAATGCTTTGCAACCCTGTAGGTTATGTCCACCAAAACATCAGCATTCATCGGGGGTGAACCCATATTCTTTGAAGCCCTAGCCCCTAGAAGGGATCGCTTGTCACAGCTGCGGGAGGTCTACAAGGCTTGCCGCGAGCGGCGACTTGGATACCTCAGCGTCGCCCACAGGCCTCCCTGAGCCAGCCCTGAGTGGGGAGAGTAGCTGCAAAGAAGAGGCTTTGAATGGCTTTGATCTCTTAGTCAGTCGATTGATGGCTGTAGATCCCGTAGCCCTAATTGTAGGCCAATCCCGCAACGGCTTGAACCCCGTCTTTGCCGCTTCCTGGAAATCACGGGCGCCCACCGGTTCCGGCATCTTCAGCTTTCTGTCGGCTTGAGAGCCCCCAAAGCACTGAATCGCTCTTGAGCAAAGCTGGGTCGGTCTTTTGGGCTCCAGTCTGTATTGCTACACGAGACTTTGAAAAGCCACAGTACTTTAGGCACTTAGACGGGAATGTCAGCCGGCAAAGCACCGTAGTTGTTGGCTTCACTGGGGAGCATACCGTCATCAAGCTCACAGAGCTGTCCAGACAAACCACAGTCACTGCAGTATGCCGCATGGAAGCTTGACTCGGCAACCAAGAGCTTGCAAATCCTAAACCTGGACGGACTGTCTGTGCCAGGCCGACAGTCATCCAGTTTCACAACAAGGTGATGCACTTCCAGTATGACAAGCAGCTGGGCCAAGAAGACAACTGACCAGCACCCTGAAAAGAACGGGGAGAATGATTCATTAGGATGCGATGGTTCAGTCTGCACCGAGGATTTTCCAACTTAAGGCTTACAGGCCCTGTAAGCCCAGAAGCTAATTGAACTCCCCTCGACCACACGCACTTTTGCACTTAAAGCCGAAATCCGGAATGCACCCCTAAAGTCTCAACCACCTTAAGCCGTATCCTAAGGGATCAGCAGCTGACCTACGTTGTCAGAGATGCTGCGGCCATGGCGTCCTGGGCTCGGCGGAATTTTCCCTCCGGGACGAGCAAGGATCATTCCCGGTCCCTTTCGAGCTATCCGTCCTGATAGGAGCTAGACATGTCCACCCAGGATGGACTCAGAGGCACTGATCCACAACGAGGAACTGTACAACAAGGACACCGGTCCAGAATTGCTGTGACTTGAGGCTGTGTGTTCAGCGTGGTTGGTGTTCAAGCAGTCTGACGGGCACATAGCCTCCACTCAGACCCTTTTTGGTGGTGCAATATGCTGACACAGTTTGGGACGGTGCTCTAGCGCAAGACCGTGTTAGGTGGTTTCCGTTTGCGCGCGATCATTATACCCTTCAGTAAGCTGCTTTTGGGCGAACAGTGGAATCGCACGCGAAAATTTCGCTGTCACGATGGCAAAGATAACGGGTCAAAACTGGACGGTTCTGAATTGTCGATATAGGTTCCAAGGTCATGTCTGCGTTTCTCTCGCAATCCACCAATTCAGAAAGGTACGACGGCCTTGGCACACATCTTGACTTCGTCGTCTACCAATCTCCGCTGCTTCACGTAACACACATGCGTAAAGTCACTCGAGCATCGCGGATGCTCGTATCAAGTCCGGGCACGCAACCTTTCGCAGATTGACAGCAGCATCAAAAATACTGGCCATTGCAGTAACATTTGCAGCACTTTGCGCTCATATTCAGGATGCCGCTCGTAAAGTAACACGTCCCAAAGCTTGACCACCCCACTGCAGCTTGCTGGTGTGTTTGTCTTCAACCTCACGCTTATCTCACCATATGTTCTGGACAAAGCCCAAGTTCATGAGATCTTACGTAGCTTAGGCTCCAAACCCATGAACTCCAAGCATTGAGCTGCCAGGAATGGAGGGACCCAAACGTGCGGCGAACGAGAACGAAACGAGGTGCCAAGGGAGCAAGGTGACAAAAGAGTTCATGCTGCAGTGGCTGAAGGTCAAATTCTGTATTATCCCTCCAACAGACCTTGCTTGTCGCTGGCTGAAATAAGCCGTCAATTTCTGGACCTGTATGCTTGTCGGACACCCCGCCACCCACCGCCACCCCCAGCGGCCTGATGATTGGTTGCATGGTCATAGTGGGAATTCGGAAGTAGGCCTCATTGCTTGTTTTCCTTGCTGTCTGCTTTGATGATCCCTGCCACTGAAGAAACAAAACTCTGAAAGCCGGGTCAACACTGACACTTACTCTTGAACGCTTATCTACTCTCCCGCAGGAACTAACCTTCAACAGTTGATTCCTAGAGGTTCCGGGCTGATTCTGAGAGCCGCCAGGTTTCTACCAGTCGAAGAACAACCAGTCCTTCTCGACCCTCACAGGCCAGATCCCAGGGCGGTCCGACAGTTTGGGCTTTGGGGTTCATGGTTTTATGTTGATGGAAGCGCTTTGGGGCGCTAGGATTTTTACGGGCTAGTTAGGATGGCCATGAGCTCCAGAGTATGTTAATCCTTCTCACAACCTGCTGTTGTGCCCAGGCGGTTGTTTTCGAAAGCCCCTCCACTATCACGCGGATCATCCCCTGAGTTCGGGGCCATTTGAAAACATACGAGCACGTGCCCTAGTTAGAAAGCTACATGAGCAGCCTGATCGGTGATCTGGGTGCTTGATCGCATGGTAGACTCAACGATTCGTCGAGAAAAGCCGCTAAAGTATATTGCGGACGGGTTCCTGCACCTAATCCACCTGCGCAAGGCATCCCCTCGCCAATGTGGAAGAACAAGTCGACTCAGGACGCGGCTTGGCCACGCATCAGGTTTCTGTTGTGCTTCTCTGAAGGCTTTGGCAGAGTATTTTGGGCGCATCAATTAAAGTTCAAGTGTCAAGGTTGCAGGTGTTTTGGTGGGTGCCAGGTGCACAGGTGTTGTTAAGGACTGGACGGCTTTGAGACCTTCAATCCTTGGAAGCTCGAGCGCTTGCATTGCCCCGCTGGGCTCTGAAGGTGAATTACATCGACATACCGGAGGAGGCCACAGATGCTGTCGAGCTTTCATACCAGAATGGTGTTTTAAACAGTTTTGCACAAAGGCTTCGCAGACACTTTTGCCAGCTTCCTCTAGAATAAGCTCTTTCAGAAGTTCTTGCAGCTTCCTGAGCCTTGGCCAGCTTCGAGTCCCTGGGCGCCACATGGGTCCCCTTACTTTCCCCGCTTTCTTTTGTGCGACTTTGTTGGAGCTCAAAAATACCCGCCCCTAAACCCTAAACCCTAAACCCAAAACCGCCTGGGGGCTGAACTGTCTCTTTTTTTTCTGCGCCCTTCGCTCCAGGATGACGGTGAGAGTCGGTCGCCTCAGCCGGAGACCCCGATGCTGTCACGACTTGGAAAGGCGCCGGTGAGATGTCTGGGACTGTAGGGGTTTAGGATTTTCATCCCGATTCTTACTGCGTTCCTGCAGCTCTTTCTGTTACAGGTAGCTGTTGGACTTGGTAGTCGCTTGCTTCGTTAGTTGGCTCACTGTTGTCAGTAATTGGCGTGTTCGTATTGCTCCCACCGTGTGAAGTGTCGGGATGTACTAGCACTGCGCCAGCATCGTGCGAGCTGTTGGTTGCACAGCAAATAGACCATGAACATGATTCTGCTTGGTGTTCCTCCGCAGCTTAGTTGAGGATCAGGGCTAGCCGATGGACATGAAACACATGACACACACACACACACGCACATTGAAAAACGTATTGTGCGTCTTCCACACTTCAATCTGCAGTTTCGCACACCGGCAAGAAATATCATCCACTAGGTCGGCCACGAAGTTTGGTATGAGTCCTGGGCCCAGCCATTTTAGGTTTCGGGCAGGGATGACGGGTTTGAGGGGACCGCGGTGTCGTCGCGGCCGCAAGAGAGCAAGTTGGCCTGTGCCCGCAGCAGTTTTGTGCAACGTTACCTCTCGGGGCTAGAAGGTCCAATTATTGAGTGAGGTTGCGAATGGTGGTGGCGGCCTGACCGAAGCAGTAGTGCGGCAGCCTTTTGGCCGACTCGCTTTCTTGTCGCCATGGGCTCGTGGGGGGAGATGTTCCAGACAGCGGCCGCTGCTGCAGACTCCATTGAGGAATTCGAGGAGCAGTATGGCTCTGCTCCGCCGATCCTCATCGGATCGGACTACCATTCAGGCTATCCTGGCAAGAAAGGGCGTGGGAAGGGGCGGAAGGGTGGCAAAGCAAAGGCACAGTGGCAAGCCAGAAGCTTCCAGAATGAGCCGAAGCAGGACCAAGAAGAGGCAGCCACGCAATCAGAGGTGCTGGCTACAGAGCTTGCCATGCTACGAAAGCGCGTCGCACGCATGGAGGCAGCCCTGGAAGCGGCTGGGATAGAGATCCCGGGGTCCGACATGTCAGAGGCAGAGGGGTCCCAAGAGTTGTCGGAAGAGGAGGAGCCGAGCATGTCCAGCGATGCAAAAGAGCAGCCGCCGTTGCAAGCAGGCGACACCTTTGCCGATGCCTGCTTCCAAGCTGCCATGGAGCACGATCGAAGCTCGCGCCGCCAGAGATAGCCAGCACGGGTATCAGAGATCCCCCCGACACCGTTCTTCGACGCCGTCGCCTCCGGCTCTTCCAGGCTCTGGCACCTGAAGCAGCGCCGGACACCACGGAGTTCAGCCCTCCAACTGAAGGTACAGGAAGAGCCCTTCCAGGATGCAACCAGCAGTCCGGAGCTCTGTATCTCTTTACCTCCCAAGCCCTACTCTATGAAACTGTGCGGGTTGGCCGCGTCTTGGATGATTTCGCAACCTCGCAGGTGAAGGGCAGATCGCCTGTGCGGAGCAGAAAACCGCGCGTGTGCAGGTCTCGCTTCAAGTGATCAAGATCACTGGAGTCATTTTGCCCCTCACTTCAAGCACGGATCACCCCAACCACCTCGAGTAGCTTTGCCAGTCTTCATGTTTGCCAGTCTTCATGCACTTGTTTGACGCGACCGCGAAAGGCACAATCTGCTCCGAGCGACATGGTCAGCTTCATGATGGCCAGCAGAGAGGAGCTGAAGTTGAATGCCGCCATAGTAGAGGGTCAGAGGGGCTGCAGTGTTCGGTTCTACTACGAACCTCTAGCGGACAAATCTGCTACTAATCCCTAAAGCTAAGCCCCAGGTTTGCTCTGAAAAGCGAGACTTGACCTCGAAAGGGCCACCGCATAGCAGCCTTTGGGCCGCGAGAGAGCCTTGTAGCTCTTAAGGTAGCAACCTACGATATAATGTATAATATATACTATGTAATATATAATATATTATATAATATATTATAGAATATATATATATTATATTATATATTATATATTATATATTATATATTATATATTATATATTATATATTATATATTATATATTATATATTATCGGCCTTGCGGCCAGAGCCTTTGCACCCTCTCCCGACCTTTGCTCCAAGGCTAGCGTGAGCTAGGCCAGACTGCTAGAGTACCTCCTATGCGCAGAGGCATGTAATGTAAAGCAGTTCCTCGCAAGGGCTAAGTCTTGTAAGTACGTCCAGCACCTAAAGCGAGCCGTTTTAAGCATAGTTGGACCTGCAGCCGCCGCACAACGCCCAGGAGGAGCAGAATTACCAGCCTTTGGGGACCATCGGAGAACAAAAGCAGGCGGTGGGTGCGAAACGAAGGGTCCGTTGGCATGGCGGCTCACAGGGTGCTGCGGTGCGTTATTAGGATTATCGAGGTTTACCTATTGGAACGGCTCCGAACCTCCAGGTCGTAACGCATGCAGGTTCTTGGAGCCTGGAATAGCTGGACATGCACAGCTTGTGCCAACTCCTGACCCTGTAGCACATGCTAAAGAAACACAGGTCGTCCACAAGGTTGTGCAATCCTACTGCGACGTTTTGTGATTCTTGTGAAATTCCGCGGGGAGTTGTGGGAGCTTGGAGGACCTTCGCTTGACGTTTGATCTTTTCTGCGAATCCTTCCACGAACTTGAAGCTTTCTCCATCGAGCCAGATGTGCTGCCCAAAACTCAAACCTGCATGCACAACTCATCAGTACTCAAGCTTGTAAGTCATTAGCGCCGTGCCCTGAATCCTCCAGACGAGCGACACCTCACTCGGCGAGGGTCCGCTTGTGTGCCCGGAACACAGAAGGGGACGCCTTCATGGTTTGCTCTAGCAAAGACAGGGTGCAAGAATGAGGGTTTAGGCTGTCGGTACCGAATGGTGTGGTGTGATAAAGAAAGACTCGAAGTCAAATTCGTTGCTCTTGTTGTATAGCTCCTTTTCCGAGTTTTGTTCGCCCAAAAGTTTGGAAGATCAAGGGCGTGTTTCTTGCGCCCTTGCTCTATCATGGAGCATTGAGATCGCGCCTGATGCAAGTGTTGGGGGCTAAGCAACCTTAGCGTTAACCTCCACCGGTAGGAGTGTCCGAGCACTTGGGGCCAATCATAAACACGCGCCCATGTAGCATATCGGTTTCGGGGCCCGAAATTCTAAGGTCTCTGCTGGCACAAACATCCCACTAACTTGTATGTCACTTCCGAGAGAGTAGACCCACTTACTTTTACCGCGATGTGGGAGCTTCGGAAAGCAGAGCCTGTGGCAAAAACGCTAAGATTAGTAGAACCTAAATTTTGAGGACCCCCCGCAAAAAAAATAAGGCGTCTCTGACCGCGGACCATGGAGACTCTCAGAACTCTGCCGGCCAGAAGCCTCCAACCCTAGAGTCCGGAGCGGGTGTAGACTCGAAAACCAGGGGCCACGGTAGGTCATATGAAGAAGGAGCAATCCTGCGAGCGATCTGAGATGCAACTAGGTAGAGGAATACGCTTTGGTTCGGTTAGTGCCATGCAATGAGACGACACGCTTTACATCACTTGCGCAGATGCGCGTGTGCCTCCGTAGTTGGAGCTTTCTTGAGGCTCGGGTCATTTAAGTCCCAGAGTTTGAATCGGCAGAGCCTCAACCCTGGAATCAGAAAGCGGCGAAACCGAAAGCTCAAATCTCGCAAGCCAGGCACACCTCCCACCGGGTCCTAAACCTGAGAGCCCGGCTACTTCCGGCTCGGAGGCCTCTCTGCCCACAGAGGAGCTTGAATGCTTAGTACTTGTGGTCCCTCTACAACTGAGCAGTATAAGAATGTACCCCCCCAAAAAGCCCGGAAACCTCACATGAACTACAACTTGAATTTTTCCTCCAAAACCCTATAAACCCAACTAATTACCGACCCTCCAAAGCAAAGGTTCCCCGTACTCGAACAGCGAGTCGGAGTTTGGGCAGGCCAAGCCGATGAGGTTTACTTCAATTCGTATCCTCTTATGAGTGTACTTCTTTGGGGGGCTATTTGAAGTATTGTTATGTTTCATTTGTGGTCCTGTACTTGTAGAGGTTGGGCAGGGATTCAGGCACTTGTTGAGGGCATTTGAAGCTTCAGCCGGACAGTCGCAGTCGAGAAGCGTCACCCCTGACCCCAAGCAGGTCCGTTGGTTAGCTGCCCGAAAAGCTCCACCGTCGGGGGGCTTGCATCATTGCTTGTACAAGGGCGGGATAATATACGGGTGGACAGAGCCGCCGGCTGAAAAATGCGAAGAACCGGTGTCAGTGTGGGCTTAAAGCCTCAAGGTAGAAGGTCCTTAGGGCCACAAATCACTGACTGGCCCAGGCTGTCGAGACCCTCCCTTTAACCCTGAATCATCCTGAGCCCAACAGGGTGGGCATTTGTACAACATCTTGCTGCTCGCGAAGTTGAGCCGGACACAGCCTGGGGCCCGGTCTTGCGCTTGGAAGTCAGACCCATTTCGGGCTTGCCGAAAATTAGGGTACCTTATTTTGGGGTCCTTATAATAAGGATCCTACCATTTAGGGTGCTATATTAGGGTCCCCTATTTTCGGAAACCCCATTTACGACTTTTGTTGAGGGTTTGCAGCCAGGCTCAGCATTTGCAAGCGGGCTTTGGGCTTCAGGGCGAAGTTCCGTGATTTGATGATCTCAACACTTAAGATCCCGAGCTCTGTGCGGCATACAACTGCCCTACGTACCTGTCTGCCCCACAACCCCAAAAATTCCTGAAAGCACACCATAGCCTAAGCAAAAGGAGTCAAAACAATCAGCCGAAGGCCCTGAAGGGCTTCAGCCTAACCCTGAACTAATCGTCAACCTTGAACCCATCCCTTGTGGCCCAGTGGCTCCCTCCTGGCCGCTGTGGTGGCTTTGAACCTCCTGGCAGCTGCCATGCTGGCTTTTTGGGCCCGGACCCCGGTATATTCAGGGTTGGGGTCTGGGGTGCAGGTGTAGGTTTCGGGGCTTCACCAGGGGTCCGCACACTGCCACCGTCAGCTTTACGACTTCGAAATTGAACGGAACCTTACGACTTTGCAGTCACTGCTAAGGACTGGCCACCCTCATGGCTAAACGGGCAACCACAACGGAAGTCCTGTCTGACGTCATGGGCCCTCCTAAAGGGATGTTGTCTAGCGGTCTTATCAGCACAGTTCAGCCCACGAGCCTGCATAGGTGACTCGCCGCACCCAGTGTCCCAATTAGCCGTGCGAACTGGAGTGGCACCCAACCACAAAATCGTTAAGCCAGGACTCCACACTTCTCTGACCCTGAGAGAACTGTCTCACAACAGGACTTTACTTGAGAGCCGCGAGGCAAAGCACAAGAAGCCGTTTAAGTGCACCTGCCACCCCATGCTATAAAGCTCTACTATAGGGGCCCGGAATAATGACCTATA